AGCACTCAGCTCGCTGGGAAATCAACGGAATAAACACAGCCTGGAGCTCCCTGAGGCAAATGCAAGGCTTTCCAAACACACCGAGGCAGGATGAGGCCTCGTTGGGGCACACACCAGCACAAGTGACTCGGCTCAGTGAGAAAATGAACGGGCGGAATCACTGAGTTTGCAGATCAAAGGTGAGCACCACTGGAACTCAGGCATGCCTTCAGCTTCCCAAGGACAGGGCACACTGGCTCATGTTTGGAATTCTTTGGGTGAAGGCACTCCATTAAAAAAAGCCCTACCTGAGGTAAAAGGAACAAGACACCCATCCAGAAAACACACACTAAAAATCCTGCAGGCCCAGAGCTACACCACAGCAACAGCAACCAACTGTCAAGGAAAAAAACCCCAAACTTTGGGGTTTGCTGCTCACAAGGCTCCATGTAAAGCTGTATAAAATGTGCAGAACAGAGCTCAGCTCCTCTGTGTCACACACACACACACGTTTTAATCCAGCCTTCCTGACACAACTGATGTAAAACGTCAGTCTTTGGTAAAAAAGGACAACCAGCTTGCGAAACACATCAACTTATCTGATGGACACAGCACAGCACTCTACATCATATTTGGCTCTTCTGAGTGAAAACACTCAGAATTTTCTTGGGATTCTTTGTGTTTAGTTATTGGTTGAAGCTTTTTCGTTGCTGTGTAGTTGGTTGTTGGTTTGGGGTTTTGAAGTGGGTTTTTTTGCTTTGAGAATCTGACTGAAGAGCAGCTGGAATACTGTTAGAAGATACCTTAAAATCACGCCTCAAAATCTATTACCAGAACAACTTAAAACACCTGAATTTAAAAGGAAAAATACTACATGACAAAAACAGCGATAGTTTTAGAGTCCTGCTCCTGCTATTTCCAGCTCTACCCCAAGAAAGAGTAATATTTAAACTGTACTGCCTAGGCATAGGCTGAGCTGTGTCAAAAGGTCCCTCCCGACCCACCTGATGTTGTTGACACAGTCTTCATGAGCTTCGGAGAGAGTCTTGATGTGCTTTGAAGAGATGGGGTCAAAGAGCAGGACCTCAGTCTGTTCACAGGCCACGGTCAGCACCGAGCTGCGGGGAGCACAACACAAAACCCCACGTTTGTGGTGGGCCCTGCCCTCCACCTGCGTCACCTGGTGCTCTGCCCACACCTTCCCGGGGCTCTGGGACAGGAAAGGTGACACCGAACCAAAGGTTCATCTGCAAATCGGTGGGGGTTTTTCACTAAAACCTTGCAAAGTACACATTTATCAGCACCACGGGGCCGCCGGCAGCAGCCGGAGCAGGACTGTCACCCCCATCCCCTCCTCCTGCACAGGGAGAGGCACCGCTGCAGGTGAGCTGGGAGAGGCACAGCCGGACACCTGACGCCAGGTGCGTGCCCCAGTCCTTTAAAGCACAGCCCAGGGGTGCTGCTGATGGACACAGCGACGACACCTG